CACATATGCTTATGTGTGTGTGTGTCTGCTTATATATTTATACAAGTGCCATAAATGATAATGGTGATACAAGGTATAGGAGGAAGAAGTTAGGATTACTTTTTTTTTGAGACAAGGTCTCAATATGCACTTAGGCCAGCCTCAAACTTGCTGCATATCCCAGGCTGGCCTCAAGTTCTTCAGGGCCTTGCCTCAGCCTCTTGAGTGTTGGGATTACTGGAGTGCATTACCACCCCTGGCAGGATTACTTTGTTATTATAAGGTACTCACACTATGCATAAAATGGTATAGGGTTGTTTAAAAGTACTCATTGTAAGTGTATTTTGTAGACTCTAGGACAACCACTAAAAAAGAAAATCCCCCATTTACACTAACCCAGGAGATCTAAGGAAGGAGAGAAAATGGAATAGCATAAAATGTTATATTAGAACTACAAAAGGCAGAGAAAAGTGGAAAACAAAAATAGGATCAAAGAACAAGCACAACTATTTTTTGGAAACTAACAAATATAGTAGATATTAGTTATATATTATATATTATAAACAATCACTTTGAACATCAGTGATCTAAATACGCCAATTAAAAGGTAGAGATGGTCAAAGTAGATCAACATAAAAGACCCAACTATATGCTGTCTACAGAAACCCACTTTAAATGTAAAGATACATATAAATTAAATTTATGGTGAAAGATATACCATGCTAACTAATCAAAAGAAAGCAGGGTTAGCTGTATTAATTTCGGAGACAGCAGACATTAAAGAAAATTATCAGGGATAAAGAGGGCATTAGCTAATGATAAAGGGCTCCATACTCCAAGGAGATAGAACGATGTATTAGGCACATGCCTAACAGAGTGACAAAATACGCAAGGCAAAAACTGATAGGACCAAAAAGAGATAAATTCCTATTATAGTTGGAAACTTCAACACCCCTCTATCAGAAATGGACAGATGTAACAGTCAGAAATCAGTAAGGACATGATTGGACTCAGAGCACCATCAACCAGCTAGATGTGATTGATGTTTGTAGGCTGACTTCCTCCAAAAACAGCATTCTTTACAAGTTCTCATGGTGAATATGGTGCAGATATTGTGTACACGTGTATGTGAATGGAAAATTGAGACCTGCTGTAATTGTTTCAGGATTAGGGAGAGGGAGAAGAGAAGAGACTTCTGGAAAGGGTGAATTCAAGTATGACATATTTGACATTATTATAAGAACTTTTGTAAATTCCACAAGTACCCACAGCTCAAAAAAAAAAAATTTTTTTTAAAAAACAAGTTCACATGGAACATTCACCAAGATAGACCACATTCTGGGTTATTATACACACTGAAACAAATTTAAAGGAATTAAAATCGTACAAAGTAGACTCTCAGACCACAGTGGAATTGAACAGAGATCAATAATAGAAAGATAACTTGATATTAAATGACATGCCTTTGAATAATTACATGGATCAAAGAAGAAATGCCAAGAGAAATTAAACAATATTTTGGACTAAATACAAATGAAGATACACTTTAACAAAATTCGTGGGATGTGCCAAAGGTTGTGCTTACAAGAAAATTATAGCGTGGAATGCATATATTGGAAAAGAAGAAAGTCTGAAAATCAACCATTTTTAGTTTCCACTTAGGAAACCAGGAACAAGGAGAGCAAATAAGTCCAAAGTAAGCAGAGAAAAAAGAAAGAACAAAAGCCAATGAAGTTGAAAGCATTGGTCAATGAAATAAAATGTTGACTCTTTGAAAATATCAACAAACTAATAAGCCTTTAGATTAACTGAAGAAAGGAGAGAAGACACAAACAACTAATATCATAAACAAAAGGGAGGATGTCACCAGGATCTCACGGATCTTAAAAGAATGGCAAAGGAATGCAATGAGCAATCCTCTACCCACAAATGGAACAACCTCGATGAAATGGACCAATTCCTTGAAAGACACATTCTGCCAAAACTCTGCTGAAGAAGTCAAATCAATGATAACCCTCCAAATCAGAAAATGCAGGCCCTTAGGGCTCATCGGTGTATTCTGTCAATCATTTAAGAAGAGATGATACCAATACTTTATAATACTTTTCCGAGGGCATACTTTCTAACTCATTCTATGAGATGGAATATTATTCAGCTCTAAAAAGAGCTGAGTTGTTAAACCATTTCAAGATGTACTAGAACTTACATGCACAGTACTGTCAACCTGAAAACACTGCATACTTTATGATTCTAGCTATGTTGTTATCAATCTTGTCAGCTCTTAGTGTTACCAGCTCAGCCCTGGGTTCTTTTGCTCAATTTGAGACAGAAATCATGAAGAGGCAAGAAATATCACCCACACAAGGCTTTGCTGGGGCTTCTGCTCCAGCATAATGGAGACAGCCCATGAGTTTGGGTTCCTGAACTGGCTGGCTGAGGACAGGAGGAATACAGCTTATGTAGAGAAAAAGGCAGGCTCATGCAGGTGCACGCACAGTCAGCAGTTGCACATGTTCCCAGGATTTCTGCACACATCCTGTCAGTTCTTGATGAGCACCTGGGTTTGCACTTGACATGGTGATCTGCCCATGCTCGGTGGGCTGGATCTGTCTTATGCTGGCTTACAAAAGATGGCGGAGATGCCTCCCCAGGGAGGTTATATATTGATCAAATTCAGGCAAATTGCGTCTGTGGCTGTTGCAGGAAAGCTTGAGGGAGGAATCAGCAGCCCCTGAACCTAGTCATTGTGGGAATATCTTTGAAGACAGCTTAAGTCATGGAGGAATTAGGAGCTCCCTATTCTGTCTCAATATGACACTCTAGAAAAGGCAAAACAGTGGAGACAATAAGATCAGCAGTCACCAGGAGTTAGGAGGGAGCGGGGGATGAGGGAGTAGCACCTAGAAGATTTTCTGTGTAGTGAAAATTCTCATTGCCTGTAATGGTGGATACGTGTCATTTTACATTTGTCCAAACCCATAGGATGTGCAACACCCAATGAACCCTAATGGAATTATGGGCTTTGAGTGATAATGATGTGTCACTGTAATTCATTGATTGTAACAAATGCATGACTTAGGTGGGGGCCATTGATGATGGGGAAGGCTGTGACTGTATGTAGGGGCAGGGGAAATCTCTGTACCTACCTCTTAATCTTGCTGTGAACCTAAGGCTGCTCTAAACAGTCTTAAAATTATATGTATTTATTCACTCCAAAAGCCTACTAAGTAGTGGAAGTTTGTTTGCTCTGTTTTGGTTTTTACCTTATGCTAGCTCTGTGACATTGATGTTGTTGAACTATATGACCACACTAATATTATTCTGCTGTATTTTAAGACCTCAAGCCACTACAAGATTTTTGAGCTCCTAATCAGTATGAATTGAAACATTAATGAGCTAGAATCAGCTTCTCTGAGCCTTATATTATACATTACAAATGAAGAAGTGTGGGGATTAGAAAGCAGTGTGTATGTGAGTGTATATATTCCATTAGACCTAAGAACAATGGAACAACCCAGATAAACAAGATTAATGTGGAGCAGAGGAACAGTCTCTCATGTAAGGCATAAAAGAAAAATCAACCCTCTCAGTTCTGTTAAATGGCAAAGAATGGACAATGCCAAGTATAGTAGGACAAACATAGATGCCACGGGTAGCACTTCATTGTAAAAATCTTATGTACATTGCTGAGTATAGATGAATAAACAGTTGCTTTCAGGTCTTCTCAATCCCCTTTCCAGTTTTCTTTCTTTTTCTCTGTGTGTGTGTGTGTGTGTGTGTGTGTGTGTGTGTATGAGAGAGAGAGAGAGAGAGGGAGAGAGAGAGAGAGAGACTGCACATATATGCACAGTTTTAAGATAAATAGAAAGCAAGCATCCATGTAATCAAAATCAAGAAAGAGGACATTCATTGCTGGCCCCCAAGAAAGATCCCTGCCTAAAACATGTTTCTGTAGTCTGATACAAAAATGCCTTTGTTTCCTTGTGTTTATTCTGTCAGATGGGCAATTAACAAGATGCAGGTGCATCAGACCTGTGTATATTTCATCATGAAATTTATATTTACTATTATCATGGTCTCCAGAAAAGCTGTCATGGAAATCAAAATTGTGTACTAACACGGGCAAGAAAGCTATGGGGTGAAAAGTATCAGCTGAATGGTCACGTGGCAGGTAATGCTAGGAGAAGTATGCTTCGTTTTCGGTGTTCAACAAAAGCAGTACTGTTTCTTAGAATCCCATGTGAAAATACCAGGAGGTGGAGAGTGATTGTCATTTCAGGAAGCAGTCTTCATAGGATTTGATGATGCAACTCCTCCCTGCCAACTCCTGCCACACAGGGAGCAGCAACCCTCCTCTCTACACTTCCCCACTCCTAACTCTCCCATCCCTCTCCCACCTCTAAGCTAACACTCACACTCGTAGACACAAAGACAGCAACCACAGAAGTTGCGACAACAGAGCCAGCCAGAGAGTTTGCAGCAAGTTTGCACATGGGCCCAGAGATCCATCCTTCTTGGAACGCCTTCCCTGGCTCTCCTCCAGGAAGTCCTTCTCTTCTGAAAAGCCTCCCTGGAATCTCACAGTCTTGATTGTCTTTGGATCATCCTGTTGGATCTACTCTCTGCACCTTCCCCTAGTTTCCATCTGTGTTTAGCACTGACTACAGTGTTTTCTGTTAGAATTCTTTCTATATGTGCCTCTCATTCCTGCTGGTCACGGACCATGTCTCTCTCATCAGCGTGTTCCCACCACCAGCACTGTGCTGTACATTCAAAATGTGATCAATTATACAGCATTCCCATCCAGCATCTCAGGCACCTTGTCTATAAATTCACCATGAAAAGTGAATGCATGTTGAATGTTTTGAAGCTCCGTCTTTCAAGGGGTCCCTTTTCCACTATTAAAGTGGAGAATAAATGATGTAATGTTATGTGGCCATTGAAGATTATGAATGGCGGATAACTCAGTGGGTTTATAAACTGTATTAATCTATTATTGTGTCCTTGTCCCTTGTATATAGTCACTTCAGCTTGCCCCGGGGCAATACGATATACTTCCTACACCAGTTCCCAAGTACGTGTCCAGGTAATTATATACTTACTGATTTACTCTCAAACATTTCACTCATGCCCTTCTACAGGTACTTAAATACCAATACTTACGGCTTTTAAACCTCATCTATGCACCTCATATCCAGATTAGCATTTTTAAATATTTAACAAGAGCTAGGGAATAATTTAACAAGATCTTCACTTTAAAAAGTGGGTTTAGTACAAGAATAACATAACGGTCATCCAAGTATTCACAACACAGAATCTGTGCTTTAGCATTCTTGCTAGGTTAAGTTCAGATCATTTTTAATCAAGCAAAATGTTTGCTTTTAAAGAAAGGAAAAAAAAATTCTACCCTATTAAATTGCCTGTTCCAACATCCTTCTTATCCAGAAGTTCTTCCTTATAATAATAATTAGCATTTTGGCACACTTGCTTGGTGCTAGACACTGTAATTTTATGTAGATTTGTCCCAACAACCCTGTCAAAGTGGGTTTTGCAATCATTTCCAAATAGCAGATGTAAAAACCTGAGGCAGGCGAGTTGTCCAGGACAGAAAGCTAAGGTTCTATCAGCTTATCATCCACAAATGCTTATTTTTTGCCTCGTTGTAGAACTCAGTCTAGGAGAAGTTAGGTTGTTAGCAGCACAGATTGTAGAGAGTGCTGTGAAAGACAATTTGAAACCAAGTAGCCAACTTCCAGAATCTCTGTATTGAACCACAGCACTGAGCAGATTCCTATTGTTAATTTAATTTAAGATTTGAGAGTAAATTTAGCCAGGTACCAGTGGCTCACGACTGTAATCTTAGCTACTCAGGAGGCAGAGATCAGGAGGATCATGGTTAGAAGCCAGCCCTGGCAAATAGTTTGCAAGACCCTATCTTGAAAAAAACCCATCACCAAAAAAAAAAAAAAAAAAAGGTAGGCCCTGAGTTCAAACTTAGTACCACACACACACACAAAGATTTGAGTGTAAGCTTAGTCAAAGCCCATTATATGCATGTATGGAAATATTGCAAGATCCCTTTGGCAATTAATATGTGCTAATAAAAATTCATAAAAAGGGATTTAGAAGACCATTTTTTCTTTTCTTTTTTAATATAGGAGCTTTGTATTTCGTTCTACAGTTCAAAGATTCCCACCAAACTACTTCACTCCTGTAAGTATAACATAGACAGTTAACTCGTGATGAATCTGATGTTTAAACTATACAGTGATTCCTTTTAATATAAGCGTTTTGCTTATCATGACAAAAACCTGTGAGTGATTAATGTGATCGATATAAGGTATACCTAAAGTATATCTGATGATATGCCAGGAAATTCAGAGTAATCAGCCCATTTGTGGCAAGTTACAGAAGAAAATGTCTGACTCTTTAATTTTTTTTTAAGTTCAAGGGATTTACTGTGACTATTGTTAATGACAATGCTTTGTACTATTGAAAATAATCAAGAGAATAGACTTTAAGTGTTCTCACAGAAAAAATGGTAACTGTGTGAGGTGGTGCCTATGTTAATTAAATGGTTTGATTTAGCCATTCCACAGTGTGTACGTGATACGTATGACAGTTTTTATTTATCAAAGTAAAAAATTAATTGCTTTAAAAAATGTTGTTCCTTATGCAATGCCAGTGTCTGACAGCCCATCAGGTTGAAAAAAGAAAAAGATAAAGTATGCTTTTTAAAAACACTTTTGTTCTCACCCAAACTACCTATATGTGGTTAAATGTCATTTGGTAGGTAGCATGAATCCTAACAAGCAGCAGGAGGCCTGACACCTCCTTGTGAGGGAAATCACCTTCCACTCTTTTAGTCATTTTAGCATTTTCATCCATATTTCTAAGAAAAAAAACCCAGCCTTACATAATTACTGCTTTATTCTTGTTAATTATCTTATAATTCTCTGCATGGAATACAAGCCTACAGCTCTCCAAACTCCTCACACGTAAGCCCCTCCCCTCCCAAGAGTTACATCACATTTTTATGTCAACAGATAGTGTTTGATACATTCCAATTTTGCTTCCTGTCAAGTCAGAGATAATATTTTAAATTGTATATTACAATGAGATTTCTTGAACTTTTTGTTTTCTTGGAGTTAACAACTAATTTTGGTTTGCTTGGTTTGTTAAGGATGGCACTTCTCAAGAGAACTCTAAATTCTTCTCAACAATCTTTAAATGCATCAGATAAGTGATCAGTTGCTTTTATCTTTTTCTCCTCTGGTATATCCCTTCTGGAACATTTTGTTGTCCTCTTGCAATCAAAGCTGGGTGCTTCCTAGCTTGGTGCACAGTGTTCCCTGGACATTCCATCACCATGCTCTTAGGTGTTTCTTGGTGTATGGTCACCATATCTGTACATCACATCCTCCAGTGTTTCCCTTCCCTCTAAACTTGGAAGTGGCTCCTTTTTTGATGCTTTACATCTTCTGAAAAACATGTCATCATCTCTTGTTGGCTATTGTCCCTTTTTGCCTACTGCGTTAGTGTGTGTTTAGGTAGGTGTGTGTTGGGGGGGTGTTAATGCTATTTTATTGGATGGGAAAGGAATGGAGATAAAGGCAGGTGTTGTGTTGGCTTTGACAGCAGTGGAGACTCAGGTCCCCCCCACCCTCCACTCACTGAGTGGTACTGTATTTTCTTTAAAATACATGCTTTCAATAAATGCTGCAAGTTAATAGTGATTTGTTTACTATTCTGAAGAGCAGCACAAGATACACATTTGCTTTCAGTTCAGGTAGGCACCCTGCAGGACAGCAGCCTGCTGCGTGAAATAGCACAAGGTAGTTGATCCTCATACTGTTTTCCAGTACTCTGAATGTTGGTTTTCTGGAGAAGACTTTTGGAGGTCCTTGCACTGCCATTTTCTTTGGTATCACCCCCTTCATTCCATTGTAGAAGTAAAAGTGATTCACTCATTTGGAACATCTTGTACTTCAAAAAAATGAAAATGAATACTTTCGTGGAAAATGTTCTAAGGTACAGAAAATTGGCTGTGACTCATGTCTGTCCTAAACAGGCATTCCCAGAGCAGACTTGTGGGTTTGGTTTAGCTCCATGAACCTGTGAACTGCAGAGAACAAGTTCTTTTGATCCCAGCAACGGGAGAGGATGGCCTGCAGTGTGAGTTTTGGTAAAGGAACAATGATTGATAGGAGAACTTGTCTTAAACCTTCTTGTGATAAATGCCATGGTAACGTGTCATGCAGCTTTTGTTTGAACAACTCATTTGGTTGATTATATCATTCAGTTTAATTGTTCTAGAAATTAACATCAAAGTCATGGAACAGTTAAGTACTCTTAGAACTGGAAGAAACTTCATAAACCACCTGTTCTTTTGGGGTTGAAGTTGGTAATGATTTTGGCTGCCATTTACTGAGTGTTTTCTGATGCCAGGCACAATGCTCAATGCCTGGCATAGACTGTCTCATTTAATCCTCACGACTTGGTAAGACTGTATTTACTGGTCATCATTTTGTGGTAGACCAGGAAATGGAAGTTAATTGCCTGAGGTCACATGGTCATTAAGAGGTAAATTCCAGACAGACCCTGTCCGTGACCTCAGAACCTATGCTCTAAGCTGTCCTAGGCACTGAGCATGACCTTGCTTAATGTCTGTAGACAGGAGGGAGTTGATCTGGGGCTGAAGCCTACTGTCAGTATTGTGCCATTTGTCCCTTCGAACTACAGGGAGTCTAGGGACTTGAAGGAAAGGTAAAGAGAAGCATAAGGTTCAAAACCAGGGAATGAATTAGCACTGTATACAGAGGCAATCCTTTCCCCATGTGGAAAATGCTGGCCATTGGACATTTGCCCCATGGACAAAAGATTGGTGCAGTTGGCACAATGGCACACACCTATAATCCCAGCCACTTGGTAGCTGAAGCAGAAGGATGGCTTCAATGTAGGGGTTTGGGGCTAGCCTCGGAAACATAGTGAGACCCAACCTCTTAAAAATGTAAATATATACTAAAGTATAGCTCAGTGGTACAGTGCTTGCCTTACTTGCAAAGGGTCCTGGGTTCAATCTCCAACACAGAGCAGGGGGAAGGGAGGGAAGGAAGGATGGGAGGGAGGAAGGAAAAAGTTCTGCTCCTCAGAACAATGTCCTGAGGCTACCCCAGGAAGAACCTGGATTGCCATTCAGCTGCAATCTCAATGTATCCCAGCCATATACCCAGACCTTTTACTAGGCATGTGAGAAAAATCTCTAAGATGAATAAGAGTTTGGGATAAACTACAGAGGATAAAAACCTGACTGAAAACAGAATTCGATGAACAGAAAGGGAAGATTTTTAAAAAATATATGGACTAGCACTATGGCTCAAGTGGTAGAGTACCTGCCTAGCAAGTGTGAGGCCTTGAGTTCAAATCCCAGTACTACCGAAAAAAAAAAAAAAAAGAAGAATAAAAATATATAATTACTATCCACGGAGAAATGAGAAAGAAAAAATTATTTTCAATTTAGGATTCTATGTTCAACCAAACTATCAATTGTGAAAATAAAATAAAAACATTTTCAAATATGCAAAAATGCATAAAATTACATCCTACATACTCTTTAAAAAGATGGCACAAATGATAAAACATAGCAAGACAGGGGAATAAATCCAGAAAGACGAAGGCATAGAGTCCAAGGGAAAGTGAATTCTTCTGGAAGGTTAGAGATGTCCCAAGTTGACCACTGTAGCAGGCTGAGAGAGAAACCAACCAATATTGAGAGGAAAGCAGAGAACTCTAGGAGGGCTGCTTCTACATCAGAAGGGGTGAAATTAAGAAAATACGTATAGTAAAATGTGTGAGTAAAAAGAAGGCATTTATTAACTCCAGGTAAAACAAAAGACTACCCAGGAAAGAAATCATAGGACATAACTTGACTCTGCAAGGGAAAATATTTGTTTAGTAAAAAATTGATTAGTGACTTAAAATACTATTTTGAGTGAATGAAGAGAAAGAATTGACAGGAATGAAGAGAGCGAGAGAGACACATTCTCATTTATTTCAGGAAGCAGTCAATAAATAACTTCTAAAATATAAATTAGAAAATAACAAGAAGAACATGCTATTTAGCAATAAGAGAACTACCAGAAGAACAGCTAAGAGTAAAAGTTGTTTTGCACTCATCGTTTCTGAGCGTGCTGGTTGTGTGTGGGGGTCAGGAAGGTGCCAGTGCAGTGAAGTGCTGTGCTTGCTCTTCTGTGTTTGGATGCTCCACACTCTCAGAAAAGAAGAAAAGGTTGTCTCAGAGAACAAAGTCAGAAAGAACTGGGACCAGATTTCTTTTTCATTATAAGGGTTCTGCTACCATTTGTTTATTCAAACTGTATTTCTCTATTAATTTAATAAAAAGTCCTAAAACTTAAGTAAAAATATATGAAAAATGTAAAAAGCTACGGTAAAATGAGTGAATAAAAACTGAGAAAATTTGAAAAATACAGAAAATTACATTAAAAACTCATTACTCACAAGCCAATTTGTTAATTTTCTTCCCTTTTGCCCTCAATTTTAAAAACATAGTTCTGATTATGGTGCATTACAGGGTTTTTGGGGGTTTTTTGTGGTGCTGGGATTTGAACTCAGGGTCTCACACTTGCTAGACAAACACTCTACCACTCGAGCCACTCTGCCAGCCCTGCACTATGCTTCTTTGTCCCCTTTTTAGTTAATATATCTTTTACTTTCATGTTATTAAAAATCCTTTTCAACTTAATTTTTACTGGGTAAATAAGTTATTCTATCATCATGCAGTAAGCATCTATCTGTTAAGTGACCCCCTCTTTAAATGGAATAACTATTTCCCAGTAGTCAAAGTTTGATTTAGATTTCACTTGAAAACTTAAACTAAAAATTAGGAATATATCTCATCCCTGCAACTCTACACTAACTCTTAGATTAAAAAAAAGACGTGTGTTGATTTTAATTTTTTCAACAATATTGTATGATAGTATTGTGACATCTTTCATTGGATGTTTGACATTCAAATGAAATTTTAGAACAAAGTTGAAGAAAATGGATTTTAGAAAAAAAAATTGAAGTTGTATTAGTTTTCCCCAAAGCATCTCTTAATACTTTAATGATTTAAATAGTTCTTTTGTGAAGTGTCAGTCCTTGTCTGACTTCTCCTCTTCGCTGTTAACAAATCTAACTTTGCAAGGTTCTCA